GGCAGCGAGTTCATCACTCTGGCCCCTCTGTATCCCCTGCGTCCAACTGCAGCATGATGGTGGTGTTTGCAGACCGCAGGACCTAAGATGCAGAACGGTCCTTTTGTCGTCGGCCTTCAGGCTTAGCCAGGTAGCAGTGCCAAGGCTCTGGCCTTGCGTCCCGGATGGTACCAAAAGGCAGGAACCCCCCACGGTTGAGAAGAAGCTCACTGCGATCAAGTTGGTGCCAACTCACAGTGACCCTGTAAGGAAAAGGAGAGGTCGAGGGCCCGTGTGCATTCCCAAGACTGTCCCTTTACAGAAGGACCAGCCTCGCCTTTCTCCCAGCTGGTGGCTTGGAACTCCTGACCTTTTGGTTAGCAGCCCAACATGTAATCATTCCGCCCCCAGGGAAGGGAGCCCAGGATGGACGGCTGTGCAACTGAGCATCCGAGAGGCAGATGGGCCCCAGCCCGTTCTGTTTCTCTACGTGGGAGGGAAGGCAGCCAGGTGGCGGCAGCTCACCCTTAGAATTCTGCTCACACGTATTACTGAGATTTCATATTGCTGTTATTAGGTGGCCACAAGAATGGGCATACTCCTGGTTGTCTTGAATATATCTACTAGTACTGCTTTTGCTATCCATCTTGCAAAATATAAGACAAGGCCAGAGCTTAAATTAAAATCCTCGGCTTCTTATCTCCTTCCCACAGGAAAGCAAATCGGTGTTGAAAACCGTAAAATTAAGAGGAGAGCAAGGATACATAATTTAGCAAAAATTCATGGCACCAGATTCCGAGCTGTATGACTGGAGGGATAGGTCAGACATTAAGAAGGTGCTGCCTGCTAATGCAAGTTCCTTAAGGTGGTGCTCTGGAAACAAGAAAGGCATGCAAAAAAATACATACACCTCTCTCTATATGCATATTTCCAGAAGATTCCTCTCCTCTGCTCTCTTTCTAACTACCCCAAGAAAGGATCTTTTGTGGTCTGTTTGGCAATTATACTTCCTTTGAGAATTCTGAAGCGAAACGAGGGGAGGGCGGACAGCTTCTCTGCAGTTGCGATATGTTCATTTTAGCATCCTGGCGTTGAGAGGTTTAGTTTTCATTTCGAAGTGGGTTTATAATAAGAATGTCCTTCTACCCGCACCTCCACTCATCCCTCCCTGTGTCCTGAAGCTTGGCCTGGGCACGGGGTGAACCGCATCTCCAACACCTGAAGAGCGTCAAAATGCTTTGCCTCCTTCTGTGTATTTATATGCATAGTTATCTGCACGGAGGTGCACGGAGGAAAACCGGGTGGCTTTGATAATGGTGCTCGAGTTAATAAATGCCAAGGGCTATGTAAGCTGTGAAGTTTGCTATTAGAGAGTGGAGCTGATAATTCTAAAACAGGGAAAAGCTAATATGGAAATGACATCGTGGTACCCCCCCAAAAATCTGATTTTTTTTCCTCCCTGTCTTTCTTTTCCCCCATCCTTCCCCATAAGTTTCTTTTTAGTGTTGCTTGTAACGATAGGTTAGAAAGAGAATTAAGTCGAATAAAGAGAATATAGTCACACGGAGATAGTGTTAGTTCTATGCTATTGGAAGCCATATGCTTTTTGTAAAACATAGCAAATGGAAAGTAAGTGCATGTCTCATAGATACACACCTGTGTTAACAGGGTCCTTCAACCATGTCCTACAGATACCTATGTCTTAAGAAGTTTATATCTCACAGTTTTTCAGACATTTCCACAATTAAAATATACATACATATATAGACATATTTGCTTCTGGAGCAATGGATTCAGCACATTTCATTTTTGTAAGTTCAAAAAGTTTCACTAATTCAAACTAATTGTGGGGCAGGCATGCCTGAAGTAGTGAATTAGAAGACCATGGGAAGTTCCTTCTGTTCGCGAGTTATCGTTACTGGTGGACCCTGTGTATACAGTAGTGCACTCTCATCCAGTCAGTGCAGCCTCGCAGCGGCCTAGAGGACAGGGTGGAGCCGCCCTGTGCGTTTGTGAGACTGGAAATCTTCATGGGAGTAGAAAGCCTTGTCTGCTCCCATGGAGAGGCTGGTGGTTTCAAACTACTGACCTTTGGCTTAGCAGCCCCAAGAGGAACACACCATGCCCCAGGTCTCCTCCTGCTGCACCGTGATTTCAAATCGAGAGCTTCCCAGACTGTTGTAATTAATAAACGAGTGTAAAATTAGAAACATCTTCTGCATATATACACTTGTGAGGTTTTCCTCTCTTTTGGGGTATGTACTTGTACATGTTGAGCTGATTAAAAATGATCCGCTTAATTAGGTTCGACCTGCCTGAATCTTGTTTACATTTTTATTTACTCAGCAATCATTTCCTTGAAAAGACAGGCTTCAGATTCGCTCAATCAAAATTCACCCTGTCAGATTCTCAATGAATGTAGCCCAAGTTAATAGACTGAACCTTTCAATGTTACGTTTTTGGGTTTTTTTAGATTTCCAACTTAAATAATAAGCATTCTTTTTGAACAAGTGTAGGCATAGAGTCTGGTTGAAGCTGAAAATTGTAAACAATTTTAGCAGTTCTGATTGGCCGTATTTCATATTATGTAGTTGAACCGAAGGGAACTCTGGTGGTGTAGTGGTTGCAAGTTGGGCTGTGATCCTTGTGGTCGGCAGTTCAAAACCACCAGCAGCCTCAAGGGAGAAAGACTGCATTCTCTACGCCCATAAAAAGTTAGTCTCCGAAGCCCGCAGGTCACTATGAGTCAGCATTGACTTGGTGTTTGGAATAGACTGAAGATTGGAAATCGCTTTGCATCAGTTCAGATGTGCAGAAGTAAAGAACCAGAGGTTGACCTGAGCAGGGGGTGGCGCAGAATGGATGCTACTGTTAGGAGCCATTGAGTCCGTTCCAGATTCATGGCAGCCCTGTGTACAAGAGATACACACCGCGCGCGGTCCTGCAGCGTGCTCGCAACCGATGTGACTCTGAGGCCGTTATTGAAGCCACGGTGTCAATCCACCTGATAATCTAGCATTGTCTTCTTTACGCTGGCACTTGATTGACAGGCACTGGCCTCTTCCCCATAGCATGTCCTGATAGCACGGGAGAGAGTCTCGTCCTCACGTCTGAGGAGCATCCCGTGTGTCCATTTTTCAGGACAGACGTGTTTTGTTCTTCTGGCAGTCCGTGGTCCTTGATTATTTTTAGCCAGCACTATCATGAAAATGAGTCAGTTCTCCTTCCGCCGTCTTCATTCGGTGACCAGCCTTCACACGCAGATGCGGTGCGGGGGGAAACCCCTGGTTTGGGTCAGCAGGCACCCGAGTCTCAGAGGTGGCACCCTTGCTTTGCACCATTTCAAAGAGGGTGTGGGAAGCAGACCTGTGTCCACTGCAAGGCCTCCTGTGAGCTCTTCACTGCTGCTTCCATGAGCGTTGATTGTGGACCCAAGCAGGATGAAATCCTTGACAGCATCTGTCGGGATAGTTGTGTCTAATTGATACAACTAGTTGATAATAAATACTTTAGAGGGGGGTAGAGTAAAACGTTTCTGAAAATATACAATGGAATTATGAATTTATGTCCCTGGGGTACTGATGTGCAGCGAATTCCTGTGTGTTGGGTTATTTATCTGAAAGAACTGAAACCCAGCTCACGGCCATTATGTTGATGCCAGCTTATAGCGGCTCCATAGCACAGTGGTTCTCAACCTTCCCCGTGCCGCGGCCCTTTCATGCAGTTCCTCATGTGGTGGTGATCCCCCAACCATAAAATTATTTTTGTTGCTACTTTATAACTGTCATTTTGCTACTGTTATGTATCAGGTGACTCCTGTGAAAGAATCATTAGCCCCCCAAAGGGGTCGTGGCCCACAGGTTGAGAACCACTGCCATAAGACAAGGTAGACCTGCCCCTGTGAGGCCCCAAGACCGTAACTCTACAGGAGCAGAAAGGCCTCGTCTTTCTCCCGAAGAGTGGTTGGTAGTTTCAAACTGCTGACCTTGCACATCACAGCCACCAGGGCTCCTTTATTTATACATAAATGCATTCATTTGTTCGTGGAACAATCTTTGGTGCCTCTTTTTTGTTTAAAATCATTTTGTGGGGGGATCGTACAACTCTTATCACAATCCATCCATCCACCCATTGTGACAAGCACATTTGTACATTTGTTGCCCTCACTATTCTCAAAACATTTGCTATCTACCTGAGCCCTGGGTATGTCAGGGAGAAACAGGAGTTGCGGTCTAGGAAACGCGCCAGGACAGATCTACCCAGCACGATAGGAGTTGCTGAGGGTCGGAATTGCCTCGGTGGAAGTGAGCTTGCTTGCTTGGTTTGGTTCGGGTTTTCATGTTAGCCAGGCTGGACGCATAAAACGCTTCTAAAACCTTTATAACTTTTGCTCCCATGACTCTTTGCCCCGGGGAGACAGTGCAAAAGGGAGTGCGAATGTGGGTGTGCACAGCTTTTGTCAAAGGGAAGAGAAGTGACCGGCCTCGGGGCTTGCTAAGGGGTGGTCTTTTAGTATGGCAGCACAGCCATGTGTTTGGGGATGTCCACCACGGGACAGTGCTGCGGTTTCATCGTGCACCTCAGCAGGGTGTGTTGCCCGGGACCTGGAGACGGTGCCGGGTTGTGCTGGTGGGTGGGTTTTTCCTTCCTGGTGGGGGAGGACAGGAGAGCGGGGCCTCCTCACTAACTGTTGACTTTGCTGTTACTTTACAGTCCAATAAAGTGCCCGTGGTGCAGCCGTCCCATGCGGTCCACCCTCTCACGCCCCTCATCACTTACAGCGACGAGCACTTTTCTCCAGGATCACACCCGTCACACATCCCATCCGATGTCAGTGCCAAGCAAGGTGAGCGCCCCTGCCGTCCCAGCCCTACCCTCTCCCGGAACAAGGTGCCAGGCCCCTCAGCCCGCCCCCGCCTACCCCCTCTGTGGCGGCCAAGTGACCCTGCCGCTGTCTGGGCTCGATGCATGGAGTAGGTCCTAGTACATGTGTAAGAGACCAAGAGTAATTGACGGCAGTTCTCTGTAATCCCACAAGAACCTGTCGGCGCGTTTCTTACCTTGTAGCATGAGAAGACAGGAGGAAAGCATAGAACGGTCATATTCAATCAAAGGAACAGCCCTAAAAAATTTTTTTTCCTGGAATCTATGGTCTACCATATAGACCAGCTTGCTGTACAGATACACAAAATGCACAGCCCTCTGTGGCCGGGCCAGTGCCCACTTATTTCGGTGGATGGGAGGCATTGACAGAGATGAGAAAGAAGTTAGCGAAGAGACATAGGAAAGGATTTCCTGGCAGACGGTCTCTTTTAGCCTTTTGTGAGTTCTTTTGGTCATCCAGTTATAGCTCCATTGTGGATTTTTCCAAACCCTTCTCTTTTCGTTTGCCATTTGTATAGTATATGCCTTGGTTAATGCATGAAGCCACCTCTGTTTAAAGCACAGCGTCGGGAGCTGTAGCCTGCCCCTCTGCATCATCTTAGGGGCAGTGCAGGACAGAGTCGACCTGCTCCATAGGTTTTCCCAGGCTGTCAATCTGTGTAGAAGCAGACAGCCTCATCTTTCTCCTGTGGAGCACACTCGTTGGTTCGAACAGCCGACCTTTGGTTTAGTAGCCCAGAGCTTTCACTGCTGTACCACCAGTGCATTGAAACAGATCACTCCACCTAGTTGGAAGCCACCAGCCCCTCCATGGGACAAAGATGGGGCTTTCTACTCCTGAAGAGTTCCAGTCTCGGAGACCCTGATAGGGCCACCGTGAATTGGAAGTGATGACAGTGAGCATGGATTGGGGGGGAGGGGGGGGGCTGGAGTCCAAGTGTCCTTTCTCAACCACACCCAAAGCAACCCCGCTGTGGGCCAGTCGCTCCTGACTTTTGGAGAAATCTTGGAAAAGCCAAGCATCCCCTGAAGCTCCCAGGTTTGCCCCAGGCTTACTCTTCATGGGAAGTCCTGCCCTGGCCCTGCTTGCATTGATAAGGCACCTCCAGAGAACAAGAAGGCCGAGAAAGACGGCGCTGTGGATTCGTGGAAAAGAAACAAGGATCATCAGAAGAAGGCCGAGTGTGAGGGGACCGAAGATGGAGTCTCGGTCACAGTGCGTCACTCGGCGTCTTTGCACTCTGAGGGAGGTCGTGAGGGAGGGAGTCTTAACCCCACGCGTCGCAATCGCTGAATGGAGTCTGAGCTCAAGACACAGGATCTAGATGATGATTAAGCTTAGATGTCAGTGTACCTGACAGTCGTGTAGTGCACACGCATGGGTGCTGGCCCTATCCTGAGCACTTTGAAGCACTAGCTCACTGCAGAGAATGCTGTACCACGGCTCAGTGGCCTCTTTTGTTTCCTGAAGAATTCTAGGACCGTTACGTTCAAAAGGTAATGAGCTGTCCGTGACAGACATTTTCTCTTTTGCTCCACCCTTCCCTTTTGCACTGCTACCCTACCTCGTTTTGCCTGTCTAACCGTAATGTTTATCATTGCATCTCAAGCAAACTGAAAACACAAACAAACGAACACAAATTCTCCGGAGAAAGAACTTGTGGGCAGGACCTGGAGTTGTGTGATTGAGGTTGCTCTCTTCTGTCCTGACATTTGTACGATCTTACATTCCTCTCCCGCCATCCCGATTAGGGCACTCACTCATTTCCACCCCTCTTTCTCTCTGGTGGCGTAGTGGTTACGCGGTGGGCTGCGACCTACATGGTCGGCAGTTCAAGTTTGGCTTGGTCTTTCTCTCTGGGTGTGCTATAGGAAATGGAAAGGAAGTTGGAACAAACTTTTTGTTTTAATTGAACTTGGTATCAGTCAGGAAAACTGCTAACTAGAAATACCTTTAAGGAGCTATTGGGTTTCGGACCCTACTTAGAGCTAGGCAGCATCCCTTTATCCTTACGTTGTTGTTCGGTGCCTGGACTCAGTTCTGAGTCGTGGCACCTGTGCGGACCGCAAGAGCGAAGCACTGCCCAGTCCTGCGTGACCCTCCATTGTTCTTATGTCTGAGCCCTCGATGCAGCCGCTGTGCTGGTCCGGCTCCTCGAGGGCCTTCCTGTCTTCGCGGCCCGTCCACTTTACCAAGCATGATGTCCTGCTCCAGGGACTAGGCTCTCCGGACAACGCATCCCAAGTACACGAGACAAAACCTGACCATCCTCGCCTCTAAGGAGCATTCTGTCTACACTTCTTCCGAGACCGGTTTGTGTGTTAGTCCGTTGTACTTTGCGTATTCTTCACCAGCACCCTAACAGCAAATATTTATAGAACGTGTGCTGTGTACCAGGGGCCCTTCTGGATTACATACACCAGTGCATCTATTCCTCACAACACCCCTTTTTTTTTTTTTTTGTTTTTCCGGGCGCTAACACTCACTATGTGACTTCTTCAAAGATACAGAATGCATGAGTGGCAGAAATTGCTACATCAGCCCATACAGCCTGACTCTGGAGTAGTTTGATCCTAGTTTTCAATAACTTACTGTAAATGTTTAAGAACATTGAACGCTGGACCCATGCTGAGCATAGCCTCTGGCCTCCTTTGGTGCTCGTTCGGTACGTACCGAGTGGAAGGAATGATACGGGACACGTCTCCTGTCACATGGCAGCTAGTGGAGGGCACTCGCCGTCAGGCTGTGACACAGGAGACACGGGGAACCCACGCGGTTTCCGCTCCCTCATCACCCTGTGCTTGCTTGAGAATAGCTTGCAAGACCGACCCAGCCGAGGGCAAGGGTTAATTTGAGGCGTTTGATTTCACTTGTTCTACAATAATTGCAGAGAGTCTGCCTCCCCGGGTGGGTTGGCCACTCATGGGCTCTCTCTCCTAAGTTTGCGAGCAGTATATAAACTCCTGCAGGAAATCATGTGCACACACTGACTGTAAAAGAAAATGGAAACCATCCCAAGCACCGTGTTAAAAATGCAAGTAAAATATCATGGGCTCCAAGGAGAAAGATTGCTGAGGACTAAACGTGGTAGGGAAAGCTGCGTGAGGGAGGAGTGGCTGGAAGAGAAGTAGAATTTCAATAGCCACAATCAAATTTGTGGTAATCAATGGATACACTTGCAGGCCCACCAAGAGGTTGGAGGTTCCAGTCTACCCAGACCTACTGACCAACTTCCAAAATAGCAGCCCTGGAAGATTCTAGGTTGCTGGGAGTCCAGTGCACCACAACTGGGTTATAGGTCCTGGCATGCTACAAGTGCTAACTTTTAAAAAAATTATTAGTATTGTTCTATTGAATCATCAGACACTCTAAGTGTACTTATTATGAGCTAGAGTACAGAGCTGAGGTAATAGCTTGTTGGTTTAATGACATGTGCCGTGACGGCAAGCGAGTTACCTCTCTGTACCCCAGTGATCAAATTACTGTACTACAATGTATGTACCCCCAACGGTGCTTAGACGGTCACTCAGCCTGTGTAGACCTTCATTTCCACAACTATCAAACAGGAATTAAGACGAATCATTGAAGTAGTCTCTGATTTCTAAACCATCGCCCTTCTGTCCGCCAGACTATGGTGGTGTGCATGTTACTCTGAGCGGGTGCTCTGTGAAAGATCCAAAGGGTTACCCACTGCGGATCGGTGCCAGCGCAGCACCCGGATATCTGCAGACCAAGAAGAAAGGCCTGGCACCTTGCTTCCAGAGTTAGTCCACGGAACGTGCGGACCACAGCAGAGTCCTGTCTGATCAGAGAGATAGAAGCTCAGTTCCCTAGACTGAAAGGCACCCTGAATACACAGAGACAATGACCATGGAACTGAGCGCCCCGGGAGCCGTGGAGGCGGACTGGGCCACATTTCATTTCATTATTTCGTTACAAGGGGAGGTCGCCTGAGTCAGAGACAACTTGGCCGCGACCAACAACGGCCCCTGACGGTGGTTTATAAGGTCGTGTCATGAAGCTTTCCCATGTTCTCTAAGCTTCTCAGGCTTGTCTGAGTCCGTCTGGTTTTCTGTTCAAACCTGAACCTGCAGGCAGAAAACTTAGGCCACACAGTTAAGAGACCTCCCAGTTAACGAGGAATCTGAGTCTTGGGGTGAGATTGGAAAATGAGGGATACATTGGAAAAGCCCCCAGGTAGTTTGGAAAGTACCAGAATTCTTCCCATCACCCCTTTACTCTGAACCCCCAGATCCAAAAGGACAGAGAATTCCGAGAGTATATACGACTTAGGGACGCTGGGACAAAAGAAAGCGGCCCTCGTGGTGCCGCGGTTAGAGCACTTGGTGGTTCTACTCCACCAGCCGCTCTGCGGGAGAAAGACGTGGCTGCCTGCATCCGTGGAGATAAACAGCCTTAGAGGTTCTGAGGCACTTGTACTTGTCCTGCAGGGTGACCTTCAGTCCAAATTGGGAAGACAGCAATCAGTTGGGTTGGAGACCAAAAGAATCGGTCTAGGCAAAAATTTAAAAAGAAAGATTTGAGACTGTTCTCTAAAAAAAAAAAAAAAAAAATCACAAGATGACCTTACGTGAACTCTTGAATGGGAGAATGGAAGACGAGAAGACCTTTCACATTACCCACCTGCTTTCTGTGAGAGTTTAGAAATAGTTTGGCCCTAACTTCAAAGCCAACTATCAACGCTCAATACCTTTCGCCTCACGTAAGGCATTCCCGTATGTCCGGGGCCTTCTACATCCTTTGAGGTCTAAATGAAATTCACAGATAATCACAGAAAGTCAGAGTGTGTTTGTGGCCTCTTCCATGTACTTGACATGCTGAGTGGGTTTACAACCGCTGGGTGACCTGTTGGGTGGGGTGGTACCTTGGGAAGTGTGTTTAGATAGGGAAAGGGCCTTGTGAGGCCACGGGCCGCTGTGTAAAGAAGCGCTGATGGCCTTTCCTCCAAGTCCATGAAGTCTAAATTATGATATTTTACATGACCTCTGGCTCCTTTTCTTTCCCTTCCCCCCACCCCACCCCCGCCGCCTGAGGTCAGGTATAAACAAAAGGATGTCCTTGGGGACGAGGACTTGGAATCATCTCGAGGTGTTTTGCACCGTTCCTGGAAGCGTGGGCTCAGGAAACACGTTGGGGTGCTCTCATTTTCTGTGGACGACCGCTAATGCAGAACAGCTTGACCTTGGTGCCCAGAGGACTTGACTCGAGAAGAGCTTAGTTGGAGCTGAAGTGGCAGGCAGGGACCCAATGAATCATATCAAGTGTGACCATTATGAGGCTGAACATGATTCCTAATTAATCTCTGATCCTCTGAGGTACCACATTTCCCACATCTCTGTGTCCATAAGGGAGCCGATGGAAATTTGCAAATGGCAATTTACCTAATCTTTGAGCTTCCTAGCAGGCTGCCTTCTTCGGAAGCGCCGCCATCTCCTGTGCTGAGCACAACAAGCTCACGTTCTCCACAGAACCGGGCCCACCGTCTCCCCAACCCGAGGGAAAGGTCGGGGCCAAAGAAATGACCATTGGCAGGTCCACCTTGGTGCTTGTCTCATCAAGAGGCCTCATATGGACTCTCTCAGGATAACACGATCCAAAGACCCATGTGAGAAATTCTCAGATGTTGGATGCTCTGAGGAAAGCTGACCGTCTGAGAAATGGACCCAATGACTTGATGATGTTTCTTTCTGGACCTGTGGAGTATTACTGGCACAAAAGCATTTTCATCATTTTTCTATTGCTCTGTGATCTAACGTTCCTTTGGATCTGAAAACTGTACCTCTTTTATTTTTGTTGTGTGTTCTTTTTGTTTTTATAGGCATGTCCAGACATCCTCCAGCTCCTGATATCCCCTCCTTTTATCCCCTGTCTCCTGGTGGCGTCGGACAGATCACCCCACCTCTTGGCTGGTAAGACCCTTCCTGCCACCTTCTGCCAGGCGTTCAAGCCTGTCTCCTTCCACTTTCCCTTCATGGAGATTACGCTTTAGGAATAGTAACACTTAACTGAGTTGAAGGACTCCTGCATCAGCAAGCGAGGCGCCAGCTTGATCTCATATAGGTTTAGTATATGCATCTATCTATCTATCTATCTATCTATCTATCTATCTATCTATCTATCTATCATCTATCCATCCATCCATCCATCCATCCATCCATCCATCCATCCATCCACCTATCAATCCATCTATCATCATCATCATTATCTATCTATCATCTATCCATCCATCCATCCATCTATCCATCCATCCATCTATCCATCCATTCATCTATCAATCCGTCTATCATCTATCTATCTATCTATCTATCTATCTATCTAATCTATCTGACAGACTTCGAAATGGGTTGACTTGGTTGGCTAATATGTGTAGACAATGATTACAGAATGGACTTTGAAGCCAGCTGTTTTATGGGGTCAATTTGTAGTCTGTGGGGCATTTACTTTGCCTGTAACATACAACATTAGAGTTCAGTGAGTGTGGTTGTGCTTTTTATAGTTGTTGTTGTTAATGAACAGTTTATAATTTGGGCAACATAATCTTAAACCGTCTACCTTGTCTTATGAATAGACTTGAGAGGGGAAGGGCCGACAACTAACTGGGGAGGGATTGAAAATGGGAAGTTTTTTGTTTTTTATTAATCATGAATTATTTTGCATTTGCGTTCACTTCAAAACGCTTCTTACTGCTGCCTGTAATTTTCTGTTGCTAACAATAGAGGTATAAAGAAAGGGAAATTTGGGGAAGCAAAGGAACTTTTCTATAGTATGGCCTATTTTTAGCATTTTACGGTTAGCACACACAACTCTCCCCCTCCCAACCCTGGCCCCTCTCCTCTGTTCCCCTGCCCACCCTCTGTCACTTCCTGGAGAATGGTGCTTCGATGCTAGCACATGTGTTTCTCCTTTCTCCATCTGGGGCTCTGTCTTCCACCACAGCCCCACTCTGCTACCCAGTCTCCTTACCTTTACCTCTACTTCCATACAGTTCCTCGTTTCTTCAGCAAGGAATGGCCACTGGAATCCCCCGTTTTCCCGGCGTCTCCCTGTGTCCATTCCTATCGCTAGCACCAGGTCTCTCGGGTCAGCAATTCTGTTTGAATGCAGGGATTAGACACATATGTTCAAACCTCCATCAGTTCTTCTGTCTGAATGTAGCCACGCGGGGGTAGTAATCCTGTGCCGAGTTGCACCAGTGGCTGCTGGGAACAGAAGCTGTGTCCAGGGAATCGTGTGAGATGAGGAGAGACATGGAGAAAGAGGGGATCTCGGGGTTCTCTCTCAACGTGGGTACAGGAGGAAGGAAAGGGCAATGTTTTTAAAAACTGTTCATTCATTTGAATGCCAACTTAAATTCACATGTTCATTTCCTTCTCTCTTCCCACCCCTAAAGTTTTTGCAAGATTCTGATCAGTGAATTCACTAAGCTTCTCCTCCAAAGGGAATTGTGTCACCAATCTCAGGGTTGCGTTATAATCAGTACGAAGTGTGTGCCCAGCGCACAGTGCTGGGCATTAGTAAGGTTGGGCGAGGGGGAGGGCGTAGGAGCAAGCCATCCATGGCCTGGTGTGCCATGAAGAGGGAGGGTGGGGGGCATTTTCTTCAAGGCAGAGGACGTGCTGAGTGGGTTAAAGGACGAAGGGTCACAGTGCCGTTCACTGAAGAACTTCTGTGGTCAGTAGTATGTGCCCACAGATTCTGTTTACGTGCCTCCCTCTCCTCCCGCAATCAAACCCTTATTGCTGCCTGGTAACTCGTGTTTGTTGTCATTGATGTGGGTTCCTTTCTTCTGTGACCTCAGGCAAGGTCAGCCTGTATATCCCATCACGGGTGGATTCAGGCAACCCTACCCATCCTCACTGTCAGTCGACACTTCCATGTCCAGGTAGGTGGAGGTGGAAACGCGGGGCAGTGGAGGACACGGTGGTCTTCTCGCGCTTGCATCTTGCGTGCCTCTGCTTGCCTCTCGGTCGGCTAGGAGGGTGCGCACCTCAGGCTCGTGTCTGTCTGTGCAGTGCTGCGCCTGGCTCCCACACTAGGGCTCGCAGGGCTTCCTGGGTCGGAGCCCCTGGGGACCAGCCATACCCAGCCCCACTTGCCCACCCACTGAGGAAGGAAGCATTTTGGAGGACTCCTTTGCCTCCAAGAGCCCCCCCTTGCTATTTGGTGGTGGGATTTGAAATGTCCTGCAAGTGGGCATTTAGAAAAAAAGCTTGCTTGGGTCAAAATATATTGGAGATGGGACAGACTGGGGGCATATATATATATATATATACATAGACACACACACACATATAGTCGCTCTGAGTTCTGTAACTTTTTGGCCCCCTCTGAGGAAAGGAATCTCTGTGTAACGTAAAGGTGGTTGAAAATGCCTAGGTATTCTAGAACCTTCCTGCAGGAGAAGGAACCAAACCTGCTCCCAAGTTTGTCAGGCCACAGGCGGGGTGGGCCCTAGTGTGTGAATCAGGCCCTGTGTTGTGGACGCATTAGTGCAAGCGAAGCTCTGTGAGGCCTGCCACGCCACACGTGAGGCTGCTCTGTGTAATGCTTTGCTTCTGGAAAGACGGCTTCTGTGCCCTGTGCTTGATGTTGCACACGTGTGTGTGATGCATCATCTGTGTGGTCAGCGTGCCTTTTTGTGTTTCCAAGGGAGTGAGCGTCACTGTGCTGGGGCATCCTGGGGGGATGGACAGATGGTGAACCTTTGCCTTTGGTGCAGGCACGGCACTTGCAGTGTCCCACATGGTGAATGACCTCCTGCCATGAACGTGCATTGAAATGTACACGTCGTCGGCTCAGGGACTTGTCAGTCTCATGACCGAGGGGGTGACAAAATAAGTGCCCTCCCACCACCCCCCAAAGTGGGTTTTCACACTTATTTTTCAATATTGTCAGAACCCTCTGATGACTGAAGTTTCTCCTGCCGATCGACCAGTACCACGGGTCTTTGAGAATAGCACTCAGAGTGGCAAGCAACATCATTGTTTAATCAGATAGTGGCTTTTTTTTTTTAACCATCTCTCCTTAATTGTTCAGTTTTTGTGTGGATGTTTTTGGCCCCTGAAAGTGTATTCCAGCAGAATCTCTTTTCCTTCACAGATGAAGGAGTTAATTATATTGGCTGGGATGAAAAGCCGGCGGTGGTGTTCTTCCCAAACCCAGTGTTTACTTTAAAGCAGTTTGAAAAGCAAAGCAAAAAAAAAAAAGAGTCAAATTTACCCGAAGCGCTCTTGAAGGCCCCGTCTTTATCTGTTTCATTTCTCTCGCATGCTGGTTCCCCCTTTGTGTTGGCTGCTGGTGGACATTTCGAGATGATTGTCACGCCCTACCAGCATGCCAGGGGACGCGGCTCTCTCCACGGTGCAGATTTTACCCCATGCAGAATGGTGTCCTTTCTTTTCACTACACCTCTCCCTTCACCGGGGCTCTCGGTTTTGTTTCGTTTTTTTTGGTTTTTTGAAAGGCCAGATCTCTGAGACCTTTCTTTCTGCATAAGAGAGGTAAGCGGAATGATCTTCACGGAGCCAGACCTTGAACGGATGCCTGGAAGAATGTAGACCTCCCTGTCCCTGGCTTTCTGAATCACTTCCTCCTGAAAGGAGCCCCGGCAGTACAGCGTTGACGGCCCCGCTGCTGAACGAAAGGCAGCAGTTGGATCCCACCAGTGGGGCTCTGTGGGAGAAAAGGCCAGAGAACAGTGTGCTCTGGGAGCCCCACTGGAAGGTCTGCCCTGCCCTCCGGGGTGGCACGCACAGGAGACAGTGCTCCAGGCGACGTCTTGCTCACGAGCAGAGCTTCCAATTTAGAAATCACCCTCCATCTTCACAAAGAGTGCCTTCCTAAAGCGTTCTATATGTCCGCCACTCCTCTTCTCAAAACAGTCACTTGAAAGGTGCTTTGCAAGAAAAATGAGTCCTCCTTTTGGGGGGATCTTTTTTAAATTCTGGGACCCAGAACCTTCTCAGGAAAACGTCATATTCGGCAACTATGTTCAAACAAAACCACAAAACCTGTTGTACAAGGAGTAATTCTAACATTACTCACCTGGTAACAACGTTAAAAAAAAATTATCCTCCCACTGTCATTTAGAGCTGATAACGCTGCATAGAAAGAGATGGGTTTTCACGTTTCGCAACAGCAGTTAGCAGGTTGGTTGGGACTTCTCTGGAGCCTTTGCTGCAGTCGCCATAGTACATGTTGTTCTCTTTCCTTTCAGGTTTTCCCATCATATGATTCCTGGTCCTCCCGGTCCCCACGCAACTGGCATCCCTCACCCAGCGATTGTAACGCCGCAGGTCAAGCAGGAGCACCCGCACACGGACAGCGACCTAATGCACGTGTAAGGGCAGGCTTGGCTTCACCAGGAGCACCTCAGGCACGCCCGGGGCTGCTGCCTCCTGGTTGGGCCTGGGTTGTAGCTGCACCTTGAAAGCTCAGCCCCTCGGGGCATTATTCAGCTTTGTTCCCCATGCCCAGATTTTGAATCTGAGATTGGAAAGGAGCAGAGACCTGCCTCCATGGTCCCCGGAACCCCATCAGGTGTGGAGGAAACCTCTAGGAGCCGAGGCACAGATTCGCCTGGGGCTGTTTGGCATTTCCCACCAAGGTTACCTGTTTGTACTCGAGATGGAAGGTTCTAGGCATCTCCTGCTGGGCATGTGGTTTTACAATGACTTGAAATTTCAAAAAGCCCAGAAGTCAAGGAAAGGGGGCAAAGCTTGAGATTCCCTGTTGAGCCAAGATTGTCGCAGGGTGCTCATTGCAGGACTCAACTCCCTGGAGACACTAGGCCTTGAGCTTCATCGGAATCGCTGGCCTGGGCATCGCATGGGGGCGAGGGGAGTCGTGTGGCAGACAGCGTTTGAGCGTCTCAGAACATGCACACCAATTGTGTGGGGAAGAGATTAGAACGTTTCCTTAGCTTCTCCCAGGACCTCAAGGTAGTTATGGACCACTAGCAGCCCATACTAGAAGTTTAGCGTCTTCTGAGAGAGCCTCAGAACTTGGCCTCAAGGCCCCAGGTGGAGCGTTTTTTTTCAAAAACCCAGATCCATTTCCATTTCGTGTTTCAGTGCTTCTGGAGCCATAGGCAAGCTTTGTGTATAAAGCGCAGGGTGTCTTCCTGGGGAGTCACGGTGTACATAGAACGCCCTTTGGGTTTGGCTTGCTGGATGCATCCCCTTGTTTCACCAAAGGAACCAAGCATTGCTCTTCAAAGTGGATGGCGTCCTGGGGGGGTTGAAGATGGAGGGGGGTGGGGGAGGCTTGCATAGGTGCCTGTGAGAGAGAGAGTACTGGTGTCGTAAACCAATGATCTGTTTCTCTCCTCCCATCTCTCCCTTCTTCCCTCCATGCCCTCCACACCCACTGTCACCTTTTAGGAAGCCCCAGCATGAGCAGAGAAAGGAGCAGGAGCCAAAAAGACCTCACATTAAGAAACCTCTGAATGCGTTCATGTTATACATGAAAGAGATGAGAGCAAATGTCGTAGCAGAGTGTACCCTAAAGGAAAGTGCAGCTATCAACCAGATTCTAGGCAGAAGGGTAAGTAGCGGGGTGCGTATGGGACTTTGGCACTTGCTGCTTCACTAAAGTCTACACAGATTTAACTGTCTGTCCAGCGTGGGTGTAACATCCGTGTCATTGGAAACGTCAGCGTGACCGCCCGGCATGACGGGATAAAACAAAGGGCAGGGAGCAGCAGGGGCGAGTTCCACAATATAACGAATTGCGTGGGACCTTCTTGTAAGTGGTAGCTGTTCGTTTCTCGTCTCCTTTCCACAAACAGATACTGAGGATCTTTATGTGCCAGGCAGTGTGCTAGATGCCAGGTTGTAATTACCAACTGCCGTGGATTCGGTTCTTGACTCTCTGGAGTTAAAGGTGTAGTGCCGGGATATTGGATACCAGGTGAAGAATTATTCTGTAAATGTATGGATAAAGCTGTGAGCCCTTGTGTGGCTGTAAAGAGCAAACTTCTGTGAGAACGAATGGCGAGGGGAGCATCATTGACAGGGGCGGGGTGGGGGGGGTGGTCTCTCTGAGCAAACACCGTGCACACTGAGACCTGAACGGAGAGTAGCTGCTGGCTGAGCCACCGCGGAGGGTGGGCCCCGTAGGGTGGGCCCCGTAGGGTGGGTGTACAATGAAGCCGGGAGAACTCCCTGCAGCTCAGTTGGGGAGCTGCCGGAAGGCCTTTGGGGAACCACCCATGCTTCCGGATGAGCCCTGGCAAACAGGTGACCACTCCCACCAAGAAAGCAGCCAGTGTTCCGCCCTGAGGGTCTAAGTGGAGGAACTTTACATGGGCCAGAGAAGTCTTCAGTGTGCGATCCTTAAAGTGGTGTCCGGTTTGTTCCTGGTCTCTGATTTCTTCTTTCCCCCGTGCCGAGTTCCTTCTCAGCACCGAGCATGTACCCGGCGGCACTGGGCTACCGCGTGCATCGACTGGCTATATTTTCTTAGCCAACCACCTAGCCAGAAGGGTAGATGGCTGTCTAGGAACTTTTTATTTTTAATTTATTTTCTTTCCCCAGGCTTGGGATGGTTTCAGTTCGGTAGCTCAGAACGGTGGCCGAAAGGAACTGAATGATTCTCTGTAAAGTCACTGTTTTCCCTGTAATGACATTCGGATTTCGGAGGTGCTTCATCTTACTTTGCCCCCATGCCCTTGATCTGCACCTGAGGGAGGTGAGCACAGCCCAGGCCCCAGGCGGCGTTCGCTCGGGTGTCTTCGTGGTTCAGAACCGACTCGATGGCACCTAATTAGCCAGAGCAACATGACATGCGTGGTAACCCGTTGCCATCGAGTCAACTGGGACTCGTGGCTCTGTGCAGAGTAGCACTGCCCTCCCCAGGGTTTCCATGGCTGTGCCATGCTGCAAACTCACTCGCTAGGCTTTCCTCCCAAGGGACCTCTGTGTGGAGTCAGCCCCCAGTACCCAGCCCTGTGACAAGTGGTTAAACTGCCTGCCTCATCCCAGGGGCCTTGTCAAATGGGCCCGTGACCATTAAGGCAAGGAAGGTCTCCTAACATTTGCTCCAGCTGGAGGACCCTGTCTTAGCCCTTGTGGACGACGATCACCTTGAGCCGGTTGGTTAGAAACCTAGCGAATGTGAACGCCCGTAACCAAAGATACTCAGGGCTGCCCCCCCCCCCCCCCCCCACCACCGCCGCGTCCCTCTCATCGGGAGGAAAACCAACCTCCTTGCATTATGGAGGGGAGCACCATTTCCAGTCTGCGAGACACCAGGGTTCCAGGGCTAGGGTGCGGTGGTAAGATGATAGCTTTTTCTTCTTCTTTTTTTTGGTGTCATGTGAGCAGCACTCTCTTATCTCCCTGCGGATTCTTAAACACTTAATAACAATAATTACAACGATTCCCAAGCCAGATCCGAGCGGAAGAGCGATTGCCATCATCTTTGAAGCGCTCCTCCTCAAAAGCTTGGGGGCCGATGCTCATTTTCCCTGACCCTTTAACAGACGAAGCCCAAGTAAAGGGGGGGGGGGGGTTTGACATTTCTTATTTCCGTGCGTGCAAACAGGTCCGTGGGGTTTTCCTGGGTGCTGTCGTCATGGCCAAGATAAGGCACCCGGCTGTCCAGTGGGAAGGACTCTCCTGCTCAAGAGAGTTCGGGATCCCAGGTTCGGCTTCCAATTTTTAAGGCACACGTTTCCCGCAGTGCGACTTTCTCTGCTCGCTGAATGGCCCAGATCAGAGCAGGCGTCGGTCCCGAAGGATGGTTCTCATTTGGGGGGTCTCTCTCTGTCTTTGATTTGGACACCTGTTTCTATTTATAGGTCTCTGAGATCTTTGATTGGGATCAGGTTTTCTGTCCTTTCATAACTCCCTCTGGCAGGGCCGGCCTCGCTGGTTCTTTAAAGTCCCTGGCTTTAAAATCATGAAGTTTTTATATTGGGATAATTAGCGTTCTTAAAAGTGGATCTTAAGTCCATCCCGGAACTTTTTTTCCCCCCTTTTTCTTTTTACACACTTTAATTCATCTTCACTGTACCTCTAGCCTAGAAAAGCCCATTCACAATGAGTTAGCCTAAGTTTTCTTAATTTCTGCTATAAATAGTAATGGTAACAGAAATCTTATTTTCAAATCAGCCTTTTCCTTTTTCAGACTTTCTAAGCTATTAGCCAGGTGTCCACTGAGTGGAGATTTGTTTTCGCACACACACACACACACACACACACACACATACACACACATATATATGTATATATTTACCTTGGGACTGTATAAGTTTCCTCTGAAATGGATATTTCCCCTACAACTTGATGGAGCCTGGACAACAAAATTTGATTTTTAAAACTTAACTCTTCATTTTGCAGCAAACAAAGGAATCTTTTAAAGGGGGCTTTTATTCGATTGTGTTCAGAAAGTCTTTTAAAGAAAGCTCATCTCTAGTCTATATGAGACTTTTTTTTTTTTTGAGGACAACTTCAGCGCCATCTTTTTATCTACAGACTTTTATCATGAACTGGTTGTGCATGTTGGAAATACCTCAGATGTCAAAACTCAGTTACAAGGTGGCAGACACATCAACAGAGGACCCAGACAACCGTTGAAATGCAAGTGCATCGTGGAGGTTGCCCTGCATTTCATGCCAGCTCCTTGTTCTGTCTTGTGAGCCGGGATCTTCTCGCGAACTTAAACTTGCGGCTTTAATGGGGAAACACCTGATGGGTTGAATAGATGCTAGAACCCACCCTTTCACACCTATTTTGGGAGCCACCTTGTATGTACGAATTTACGTTGTCCCAGCAAGTTTCTGACGTTTCACACACTACATAAGACTAGATGATATCTTCATAAAACAAAGCCTTGTGTTGGGAAGGGTCCGTCTGCTCCTGTACAGATCCCAGCCTTGGAAACCCTCTGGGGCAGTTCTGCCCTGTCCTGCAGGGGCCTCGGTCCGATGACAACGGGAGTATAGAGTGGGGGTCCGATTGGTCAGGAATCCTAGGGATGCTGTGGGAACACCAAAGCCACCAGCCACGAGAAAGAGGAGGCTGTCCGAGCCTGGAAGGACTTCAGGTTTCTGCCGCCCTGCCCGGTGGGCCAGAATCGACTGGATGGCAATGGAGTTGTGGGTTTTATTTGTCAAAAGAAGACATAAATAAGAGCAAATAAGGTTTCGTTCAACGTTTTTAAAAAGAAAAACTTCTCTTTATTTTTTCTTGTCTTCTTTGCCAGCTTCTCTTGGCTGTGTGTGACCCTTCCCATTGTCTGAGCACCACCGCTCGATGAGTCACTAATGGGCGTGCCGGCCCCAGGCACGAGCTCTTCTGTCTCCTACGGTGTGCTGGTTGGTGAGGTGGGAGCTAGCCTTTCAGCTGCTGGCTCCCACTGCAGCCCTTGGGGTCCAGTCCACCCCTTGGAGTTACTCCCCAGTACAAGGAGCTTTGTGTGTCTCAGGGTGCTTTCTTAGGATTCTCTTTTTTGTTCCCATCACCCTCCCTCACAACTCCTTTTTTCTAACCAAAGAAGATCCGCTGACTTGCTGTCAGCTCTGGCCCAGTCCTACTATGAAACGTGCTTTTTTCCCTTTTTGACTTTTTAATTGTGATTTGGGTGAGAGTGTTCAGAGCAAATAAGGTTTTCGTTCAACAGTCCGTAGACCTGAAGATTCTTGGCTCGGGATCCACAGTTCCCAAGGGAACGAGGATCTTCTCAAACATGGCCCCTAGTACTCCAGTCTTCCTCCCCTCCTCCCTCTGCTGGGAGCTCTATCCCCGGGCACGGGCTCTCCTTAGGATGGGAAGC